TGCCACCTGGGAAACTCCTGAAATATACATGAACAGCCAATAAAAAATAATAATAGTCCAACATAATTTGATATCAGATTAATACAAGATATGACTAAGTAAGATACTACTACTTACCCCAATAGGATGACTAACATAAAACAAAACAAAACAAAACAAAAACTGGTAGTACCAGTAGTTGGAAAACATATGAAGTAACTGATGAAGTTTTATTTGGCACACTCACTTTAGAAAGCATTTGGGCAACATCTTCTAGAGTTAAATATGTCTACCTAGAAATGTAAGAGAGAGGAGTGATAATTTTATATCCGCAAAGGCCTTTGACAAAATATGTTCATGGCAGGTTTATTCATAATAACAAACAATTGGCAACAAATTAAATGCATATCAACAGATAAATGAGTAAACATATTTTTCCTTTGTTAGAGAATCCTACAAAGCAATAAAAAGAACAAAGTATTGTGACTATATATATATATATCCTATGTATATATTATTTATATACATAATGAAATACTATTCAGTGATAATAAAGAAAGAAACCACTTTTTGTAACAACCTGAATGGACCTTGAATATACTATATTGAGTAAAATGGGTCAGACCGGGGAAGAAAAATACTATATGATCTCACCTTTATGTGGAATCTAAAAAGCTGAATGCATAGAAATAGAGAGTGGAATGGGAAATACTAGTCAAAGAGTACAACTATTCAGTTATGAGAAGGTAAATAACTTCTGGGGATATAATGCACCAAATGGTGACTATAGTTAACAACTGTATTGTACACTTGAAAATTGCTGAGAAAGTGTGTCTTTTTTTTTTTTTTTATGTTCTGACATCAAAGTTCATTTTCTTTCCCCTATATTGTTGTAACACAAGAACTTAAATCAGTTTTTTTGCAAGTGAATACTAGGGAGGAAAGAAGTATGGGTGAGTTGGAAGTAGTAGAGAGGGATGAGAAGCAGTTAAAAAGCAGTTAAAAAGTCTTAGTTACAAGAATTTACAGACTGACAAAATACAGGGTTAGCAAGGTATTTAAACCATTGAGTATTTATTAAAAGCCAGGGGTGCACCAGGCACATTTCCTGTCCAGTAGGCTAACAAATACAAATGATGTAACCAATTCACTTATTAGCTTATCTGATTAAACAAAATACATTTCATAGAAATGATTATAAAATGCATTATAGATAAACAGAATATCTTTTATATTAACAAATCTTAGGGTATCTAAATAATTATTAATAAAAACCAGCCAACCCATATGGTAAATAGAAGTTAGCAAACCACCAGTTATATATTTTAGTCAGTAAAAGAGAAAAGCATGCTATCATCATGCTGATGGGTTTCAGCATTAATTATAGACATCCTGTTTCAAAACAAACACAGTCCACCTACAATCTTAAAAATGCAGTATCTTCCATCCAGTATCAAATCACTATTATACTTTTTGTTTTAAAGATTAGTTTTGGTTTCAAAGTCAGTTTAAACTTAGTACTTTAGTCTCATGTCTCACAGATTCTTGACCTGGGGTGGGTGAGAATCAATCCTATTAAGTATTAATGAGAAGAACAAAACAAAACATAAAATGGGATAGTTTAATCAGCTTTGCCTAATTTTCTTGCCAATACTCGGCTGAGAAGTTAAGATACACACATCACTTAAACCAGAAAATAACATCAGAAAGGGAAAAAAAAAACCCAAAATTCAAATGTTACTTGTTTTAAGAAAGTTTGTCCATCAGAGTTTTTTTGTTTTTTTTTTTTTCCCCTTTTGGAAAGTCATGGCAAATTCTTTAAGGGACTGTATCGAGTTTGTTGGCACATGATATATCCCTTACGTTGAAGGCTGGTTAAGGCGGGGGTGGATACAGGAGAGAAAAGGCAGATGGGTAGGACTGAAAAGGCTGGAGTGGAATATGTTTGCTGACACAGTCACAATAACCTGCTGAACCACAATTATCCACGGGTCCGCCGGGCCCTTCCCGAGACCTCCAGAGACGGGTCTGTTTGCTTCAGGCAGCAGCACTGAAAACTTCCTCAGAGAGTCAAGGTGAACTTTTATTGCACAGGAACCAGAACTATTCCCCATTCCCCCCTTTCCTGAGCCTGAGACCTCCAAGGGCAAGCGAGGCTGCCCGTCCGCTAGCTCCTCTGCCAGCAGGGAGCGCTCCACCAGAACACCCCCGGAGCACCTTCTTCAAGGGAAGTGCGAGGTATTGCATGGCTTGAGCTTCAGTCACCATTCTCAAGCAGCTTTTGTAAGTTGTTTTGTATCTTTTCTAATCTGATTATGTTAGCTGTAAGCTCTTGGCACAAGGCCTCCACATTTAACTGTACTTGTGACCCCAGGCCAGATGGTGCTGTCTGTTCAGTCTGATGGGTGTTCACAGTGGAGGTTAGTGACCCCAGCTGCTCCTCCAGAGTATTAATTCTGTATCTCATGTAGAAGGTCGAGATGATCAGTGCACAGACAACAATTGCATAGAATATAAGAATATGGTGGAGAGTTGGCCATTTCTCAGACTTTACTCTGGGTATGAGTCCAGTGGTTTCTGACTGACCTGCATGCCCAGGGAGACTCTTGGCTTTTCCCTCAGGTACTCTGTTCACAAGGGGATCTGCCCTAGTTGGTTTCGTTTCTCCCTTGGAGACATTCAGAACTGTCTGGGATTCTGTCACATGGAAATCTCGAGAGTTCTCAGATTCAGGGGTCTGAGATCCAGAACTACTGTATCCTTCCATGTCTTGCCTTCTTTGTTGTACCACTCCATCCAGATCTGAGAATTCATCATTGAAATCCAGAGGGAANGGGGCCAGAATGGCCTAAGATGGTGTCTACACTACAGAATCTGAGGAGACATTTGAAGACAGACTAATTAGTGAACAGAGTCTTGTGCAGTGTATCAGTGGCAAGTAAAAAAAGAGGAAGGAGTTAAAAGTATTCTTCAGTTTCCCACAAGAGTGACCTAAAGGGCAGTGATGCCATGAACAGAAATGGTAAGAGATAAGCGGGCAGATCAGGAGGCTGAGACGTGACCAGTCCCTGCAGGAGCATAAAAGAGAGTTGCTGGTGTTGAGTAGAAACAGCTGAGACCTGGCTCCTACGTCCTCATAGCTGCTGCATCTCCGCCATGCGCGGCCGTGTCATCACCAGCCTGCCTCTGGGGAGGGCGGGGCTGGGGCTACAGCCTGAGCGACAGCAATGGGTGTGCCCTGGTGACTGTTTATGCTAAGATTCCTATGAGCAGTGTGTGCAGCTTATGATTATTTACAACATCAACACATGCATTTTGACCCTAAATCCCCTCTTTCCCCGCTTCTGCTTTGGGACACAGGTTTAGGTTGGCACCCTAGCCGAGTGGCTGGGTCCTTCGCAAGACATGGCCAGCTGTCTCTCCTGTTTTCCTGTCCTTCAGAGAGTGTCCTACAGAGAGTGTTGTCCCTGCCAGGATCCACAGGAGAATGGGAAGAAATGCACAAGAGGGCGGCTGGGTTCTGCATGCTTCCCAGTCCAGAGAACATCACCATGTGCCAGTGTGAACAAAAGAGAAAATTACCACTCCATTTTCCAGGTCAGCATGGAAGCCAAACATGTCCAAAGTGAAAGTCACTCAGTTATGTCCAACTCTGCGATATAGCCCATGGAATTCTCCAGGCCAGAATACTGGAGTGGGTAGCTTTTCCCTTGTCCAGGGGATCTTCCCAACCCAGGGATTGAACCCAGGTCTCCCACATTGCAGGCAGATTCTTAACCAGCTGAGTCACAAGGGAAACCCAAGAATACTGGAGTGGGTAGCCTATCCCTTCTCCA